AAAAAAAAAAAAAAGTGATCTTTCGTAGCAATCATTCAGAGTCTTTCTAATGGTTTTGCAGACACATAAAAAAAGTGATATTTTTTAGGAATCCTTTGATTTTCTCTTCAACTGTTTTTGGAGACCCACAAAAAAAAAGTGATATTTTTTATGAATCATTTGAGTTTTTCAACTTTCTCTTGATACATTTCTTGCAGACACAGCTAGAGAGGCATGAAAACTCGATCCTCCGGCAAGAAAATGACAAACTCCGGGCCGAGAACATGTCTATACGTGAGGCCATGAGAAACCCCATCTGCACAAACTGCGGCGGGCCCGCCGTTATTGGTGACCTCTCCCTTGAAGAGCAGCACCTCCGAATCGAAAACGCCCGACTCAAGGATGAGCTCGACCGAGTATGCTCCCTCGCCGGAAAATTCCTCGGCCGGCCCGTCTCATCCCTTCCTGCCCCGGGCCTGGACATCGGGCCCATAAACCCGGCCCCGCCTGCAATACCGGGCGGCGAGTTCATTGGGGGGAGCGTGGGCCCCGCGTACCTGGAGCTGGCTTTAGTTGCAATGGACGAGCTGTTGAGAATGGCAAGGCCCGACGGGCCTTTGTGGGCCTTGGATGGCGAGAGGGAGGTACTTGACCGGGCCGAGTATTTGAGGAATTTCAGCCCGTGTGTTGGGATCAGGCCCGAAGGGTTCGTGAGCGAGGCTTCGAGGGAGACTGGCATGGTCATCATCAACGGATTGGCACTAGTCGAGACGTTGATGGACTCGGTAAGCGAGTTTTATTTACATTATATATATATGTGTATATTTTTGAATTAGGAACCATTTTTCTTGGTGAGAGTTTGTGTTCTTGGTCTTGAATTCTTGAACTTGATTTGGTTTATGTTGTTTTTTGTTGGTGAAGAACAAATGGGCAGAGATGTTTCCTTGTGTGATTGCAAGGGCTTCAACTACAGATGTGATCTGTAGTGGAATGGGTGGATCAAGAAATGGTGCTCTTCAGTTGGTAATTTTACACACACATAACATAATATCAATTGGATTAAGGCATATTGTACCAATTTAGTTTTATTCTTTATTTTTTTCCCTTCCTAAGTAGTCATAAAGTTGCAATCTTTATTCCGAATATATATGGTTTTTACTTAGATGAATGCTGCATTCCAAGTCCTATCGCCATTGGTGCCGGTTCGTGAGGTCGATTTTCTTCGATTTTGCAAGCAACATTCGGAGGGTGTGTGGGCCGTGGTTGACGTGTCCATCGATGCCCTACGGGAAAATTCGAGCGGGCCCACATTTCGAACTTGTCGGAGGCTACCGTCTGGTTGTGTGGTGCAAGATATGCCCAATGGCTATTCTAAGGTAAACTTCCCATAGACTATACTAGATCTGATCCCCTGCCCACGGTGGGCAGTGCCCACCAAAAAATTTTACATGAAAAACGTATTTTGAAAATACGTTTTTCAATTAAATTTAATTGAAAAACGTATTTTCAAAATACGTTTTTCATG